AACAGTGAAAACCTAACAAAGCTTGTGTCACTGCTGAGAGCGAAAACATAACTATTAACTATAGTGTTTTGCTTATGGACACTCTTACATTGTACAGAAATAAGAGATAGGAAAAGACTAGCAGATAAGATTTCATGTTTCATTTTTTCAGCTCATAACCTCAGGAATGTCATGCCCCTTCCATTAATCCTTTTCTCAACTTAAAGATCCCTGTGAATATGAATAAAGTTGTATTTTAAAAACGAAAGGAAGAGAGAAATAGAAAACAAGACTCATTCACATTCCGAGTCTGCTTTCTGTCTCACACGTATTACATTTCACAAAACAGATAGAAACAATAGAGCTTATTAAGAAAAACTTGTTTTGAATGGCAAATTAAGCATAATGAAAATACACACGTTTTTACAAGTAGTTATTTTTTCACCAATTGAATATTTTAAACCTTTCTAAACTATATACTTGTCTCTGCAAAACGTTTTTCTTTTAGCTCGTTTTCACCATATCACCTTGCTATACGTGCCTATTTAAAATCTTTAATTTGGTCAGCTCAGAGACCTCTATAAGCACAGCACCTTTTCTGTGGCCAGGCAGTAACCAATTGGGCTGGCCTACCTACCCCGGCTATTCATGAGCAGTATCAGTGTTGGTTTCCAGGCTGAACAGGCTGATGTACGGATCAGTCCACACTGGGGCTTCTTGGGCAGGAAAAAAAGTTATTATATGCGAGACGATATCTCAGCATCTATCTTTGATGCAAATACCTTTTCAGTGCAGCACAAAACATCAAAATAGATATAATACTTTGTGGCCAGTTTGGAAAAATATGTGAAAACAAGAAACAATCCAAGAATCTTTTAATGAAAAGTAAACTTGACTTAATGCAAACTCACTTCCTCCTTTCATCCTTCTGTACAGTTAAAAAAAAAAAAAATCACACAACGAAACAGCCAGATAATAGCAAACACAGGTTTTTATCTCCATTCCCCATATCTCTAAATTCAGAAGCACATAAAAAAGGGCACAGAGTTTTTCTTGAATTTTGCTTTCTACTGTAAATCCATTAAATCAGTCTTCCTGATATGCACAAACTTGTGCATCTAGTATATAAAATATCTTGAAACATAAAGCACTCAAATTTCAAGCATTAAGGTGGACTACATTTTTCTATTTCTTAGGTATTGCAGCGATCTGGGAATTTATTTTTACAGCCTGAGATGTCAGTATGCCACAGAAGCATGAAAATCTCACCATCTGTATGCTCATGGACAATCTCATCAAGTACACTCAACGACAGACTTAGAATAACAAAATTTAAATGCTATTACTACCGCCTAGCCGTACATGCACTCAAATCTATTTTAAATAACATTCAACCTGAGTTATCATGCTGCCTACCTCAGGCCTCAATCAGTTTATTTCCTTTCAGTGTTTCCTCATCCCTGTGAATCCTGCTATAAACCAGGCACATGCTATTTGAAATAACATTTGTTAAATTAAACGTGAGGTTACACACAGATGCATATAATTTAATTTGGCCTGGTGCTGATCCATAACCCAGTGAAGGTTCAAGAGTTGAGCAATGGCTTCACCTGGCACCTTACCTAATGTGCTGGGCAATGTCCTTCTGGATATGTGTTACTTGTCGGTGCCAGGAAACAAGGATATGTTTTAGTTGGAACTCTGTTATAGCAGACACTACATAGTTTAGATTAACTCCTTTCAGTAGTACAGCATCAATGTGTTATTGCCTTAACATAAAACATACAGATTATGTAAATCTGTAATAAATACTATTTTGAAGTGTATAGTAATCAAAAATCTTTCAGGGCAGGATGGAATGGAAACTGAGAAATATTGGAGAGTAAACATTCCAACGCTCATTCCTCTGCTTCTCCCTGGTAGAGCGGAGCACTCGCTGTAGCTGGGCTGCTAATGCTCCAGCCCTAGGGTTTGCCCTGTGAGTCCTGCAGAGCATAGACTTTCTGGGAAAAGTAGGGCCAAAATGATCCCACGAAAACCATTTCCACTGTCTCTGTAGACCTTGTTGCACTGTTTGTGAAAGGGAATGGTTTTTCCTGGTCTGAGGGAAGGCTAGCCCTTTTTATATCTCCTCACAAGGCGCGTGCTGTGTACATGGAGACATTCAGGCTTGCAAGGCCAAGCAATCCAAGAGGTAAAAGGCAGTGGCGGAAGAGAGGCCATACCACTTGCTTACTACATGTTTATCATTTTGGACTCAAGTGCCTGTGCAGAGCTAAGAGGGCAACGGAGCCCCAGGATCCATCAGTAACTGGCACAGCTCTGCATTTCCCTCACCTTTGTGAGCCTGGTCTGGGGTGCGGCAATAGATTGTCTTTTACCGGGCAACCTGCTGCGCTGCCGGCTATCGTCCGTCCTCTGGCGGGGATCAGGGCGCCAGGAGGGCGGCCCAAAAAACCCGCAAGTCTTGTACAAAATGCTCCTCGCCTCTGCCCCTTGCGGGGACTCATACTGACGGGCTCCTGGCAGCCTGGGCGCCAAGGGCGAGGTCTGAAATCTGCCACTGATACCCAGCAGCCTGCCAGGTCCCCCGGGTGCCGCCAGCCCCGCTGAGCGGTCCCGCTGGAACTCTCTCTGGGTTACCACCCATGCCGGGTGCGGTGCCGCCTGCTGCGGAGGGGCCGGATCGTGTAGGGCTTGCCACGCGGCCAGCGAGAAGGAGGGATCGCGGCAGGCAGGCAGGCGGAGGGAAGGAAGGAAGGAGGCCGGGCTGATTAGCATGCAGCAGCGCTCGCAAGCCCGGCTCCATTGTTTTAACACCTCCCCTCTCCTCCGCGCCAATCTGTCACCGTTCAGCAGGCGAACGCTGCTGCCTCGAATGCTGCTCTTCTCAAATGAGACGGATAATTAGCTGCCCCGCACGAATGGCGCACTCTTCTCACCCCTGATTGCTATCACCTTCTTGCTCCTGGCAGTTTTGACACCTCGTAATCAGCCTGCTGCTTTTTCTCTTTTCTTTCCCTATTTCTGATTTTTTTCTCCCCCTTCCTTTTTTTTTTTTTTTTTTTTTTTTTTAATGCAATCCCAGTTGCCATTTGGATTGAGACTCCTCTGTTGAGTTAACCTTGTATGATTGCGGGGGAAAGGGGAATGTACGGCAGGGAGGGAAAGAAATCGCCTCCTTTGAGTCTCATCTGCTGAGTGAACCATGGGTGGGGGGAGAAGCATCTCGCTTGATCCTCCAGTGCTTTTGTTCCTAAGGGGAAATAGCCTCTCCTGAGCATCCTCTGAATTAATATTATCTCTGATGGGGAAGGATCGTGTGTTGAGCGACTCCTCTGCTCAATTAATGGTGAAAAGACTGCATTTCTGTTATCTGGTTAAACACAGCCATACGAGGAAGGGATTTTAGAAGTAAGTTCACAGAGCCAGGAAGTTCCCTGTTCCTCACGGTTAGGCAGGGAAGGAAGGTAACTTACTGAGCCTCTTGGAGTGAATTCACTGTTTTATGGGAGTTGGAAGAGAGATCTGATTGGAGTGCGAGATGGCAGGGGGAACTTCTTCCCTTCTGATTCTAGAGAAGTAAGAGATCTCAGTTAATGCTCTGGTGATTTCTGCGAGATCTTAAAAAACGGAAGACTCGTGGAATCTGTCATAGGAGCGTTTTCCTCTCCTCTAACAAGCACTGACAGTCTAATTACTGGAGCTACGAGCAGCTGTCGAGTTAGCCGGAGAGACAGAGGAGCTACATGTGTTCTACTCGGCCGCCGGCACAGAGCCCTCGCAGCAGGCTGAGGCAGCCGTACCACCGCAGCATCCCTCAGAGACTTCCCGATAGGAAACGGGAGCGGTTTTTCCTCGCTAGCGCTCGCGCGAACGCTGGCTGTAAGCAGGGGGGGTTCACGCGTGGCGCTCCGTCAGCGCGGGGCGGGGTGACAAGTCAACTCATACGGGAGCCCTGAAACTGCTCCAGCCCCAGGGCTGCCCCGGTAGGGGCTCCGCTGGTCCCGAGGGAGGAGGCATTCGGTAGTACATCTTGGCACGAATTTCCTGCTCTTTCTGTCCTCTCAAGCTCCTTCCACCATATTTAATCTTTTTAATGAAATTTTACTTCCCATTTGGATTCAACCTCCTCTCGTGTGGAAGAGGGAGCGGAGGGGAGGAATACTGAGCCTCCTCTGGTGAGTGTAATAAAGCAGATGTCCGTGCTGGCAGCAGCAGCCTCCTCCAGGAAAGCTGCATAAATGGGGCCCACTCAGGGACTGCACTCGCCTCCCACTTCGAGTCGCTCACAACTGCTTTGCGTGATATTTATTTATTTATTTATTTATTTATTTATTTATTTAAAAACTAGACTGGTGCCCCTCGCAGTGGTCTGATCGGTGAGCCTATCTGGATGCCCTCAGGCAGCAACAGTTTTACGCACGCAGGATTAAACAGCTTCCTAAGACACCGCACCAGGCAGGAGCTCTCACAGTGGGAGATGGATTGGGTTCTGCTGGACGGCGCAACTTTGGTCAGCCGTGTTCTCTCCACTTCCTCCCGCCCTCTCCGCTCTGCCCGGGCTGCAGGGGACTCCAGGCCGCCTCCAGCAACAAAAGCCGTGGCCCCGTGCGGGGACTCGGGCTCGGAGCAGGGCTCCCTGCTCTGCCAGCATAAGGGCTCTTGGGGAAAACGCATCCGCGCTTGGAGGGCGGGGGCGAAAAACAGATGACTTTATTTTCTTCAAAGGTGATTCGCAGTTTGTTCATCTCTTAATAACGTGAGCTTCTGAGCTCGAATTTCACGGTTGAGAGGACGAGTCAGTGTTATGTGTCGGGCTGGACGGAGATGTGCGAATCCCCTTCTCTCCTCCCAAGCCTGAAACTTCTGCCTCTCCCGGGAACCACTCCCAGCCGTGCTCTCTGGGGAGGTACTTCACACTCCGCACGGCGAGTCCAGGCCCGAACATCGCCTCTCCAGCGCTGGCGACCGGCGGGGGTATACAGCTCTGAACAGTAACAAACTCTTTCTCCAGGTCATGTAGCAGACATGCACTGTTTATTACAGTACACTCTGTTGACAGCCCATCACAAACATGACATGTTTAAAATAGAGAAAATAATTGCCCAAAAATCCATTTTTTAAAATTATGCAGGTATTAATTCTTCCAGAAAGAGAAAGTGTTGTGCTTTGCTGCTATGAAAATCTTAATGCTAATTATCAAATATCAGGACTAAACCCCATATTCAGTTCAAATACAAAAAGCAAGCAACCTTTATCATTAATTTAAAATATTTGGTACCCCCCTACTTTTTGATATCAAGAAATCCAAAAAATGTGCAAACTTTATCAGACTGCAATGTTTCAACTAAACACAAATTTTAATTGCATTGAGAAAGCCGCTAAGCATATTCACATTAAAAATGAAGTCACTGAGATTTGGATGATTAGGTTTTTGCCTTTGCTTTCTAGTCTGCACCAGACTTGAGTGATAGCATTCATAGCAGACCAGAAGAAAAGGCAAATAATCTTTGGTACTATTAATTTTAGGGAAAGTTTAACCTTTTCTATCCTTCATACTAATATAATCCTTTTCCTGAAAGCATTTTTAGTAATTATTAATGCTAGAAAGGTACGCAAACAAGACAAGTATTTTTTTTTTTAATAACATGTAACAGATATTCATAAAATCAGTACTGTTACATTTTGAAAAAAAGATCATTTATGTGCTGTTTTTGATTACTCTCTCTAGTAAACAGTTGTTCTGGAAAAGTCAGCCATTCATTTACGTTACTAGTGAACAAGGCTATTCTAATTTTGGCATGCCTGGCATTAGGTTACCATGATAATTTTATAAGAATCTGAATTAGGAGGTTAACTATTTGAAGTTAAAATTGGAAATTTTATAAAAGAAATAAAAAATGAGAGCCTACTTCTCTTCCTGTTTATTTCAAGGGGAACATAATCACATAATTGGATACTGTGAAAATACACCAGTTTTGCAAGTCATATTAAGGCATTAATCCTGCAAGTCTATACTCATAAATATAATCATGACTTTGGACCTATCAGGCAAAGATTAATTTGGAAAAAAAGTGTTTGACATCACTCTTGAAGTTAATACGGAAGCATAACAAGCAATAATGTGCATTACAGTACTGAGTGACTTAGTTTCATTTTACCTTGTCAAAAAACAACTAAAAATGTGCTTATCTGACAAATAATTTCAGTCATGAGTTCTTGTTACAAGAAGTCTTAATTCTTAAATTCTTAGCGTATCTATTGAATAAAAAAAAGTATGCAAAACCAGTGAACCATTGAATTCTCATACATTAAGACTGTACTTTAAAGTGGGAATTCAGATGACGAAGAAAATCTTCCTTAGATGTTGGAGATGGTGGGAAAATTTCTCGACAGAATTCACATATTCCACACTGATTCAGTTCAGAGTCTGCATATGCTTGTGCCAGCAAATCATTGTCTTGAGGCTGCCAAATGAGCTAAAAGAAACAGAAAATTATTATTGCTGTGGTTTACAATGTGGTTTACATTATGCTGTAGCTTATATTTATATAAAAAAACCTATCTCTTTAAACTAGGTATCCTTTACACCTGCCTCACCAGAGACATTAACTAAAGGGTTCTCATTTAAAAAAAAACAAGACAGGACTTAGGTTTTTTAAGTTCTGTAAGCACATTATCCTTGCAAATACTTAAAACACCTTGGTGTCTATTAACGATAAATATTGCTATCAGCAATAGTCTGTAATACCAGTCTAATATATATTAAAGCTTTTCTTTAACTTTGTATTTCAGTATTTTACTGTAGAAGTCATAGGACACAACAGCCATTCAACAGAAATGAGAAAATACATTTTTACCTTAGAATAAAATGTTTCTTGTACAGAGTTAATACGATTCATACTTTATCTCCATTCTTATTGACACATAACTTGCTTTCAGTTTACTTACAAAATTATTATAGCAATATCATGTGGCTTAAGGTACTTATTTGCTCTGACTGTCTTTTAGTATAAATGTGTCTCAGATAATCGGGTTTGGGATTCCTTTTGCCATGGCAGCATCAAACTTGCTGGGATCATCTGAATATATATCCATGCATTCAGGCAACTCTGTAAACTATACTGTATTGGGTTCAGCAGCTGCATTGCTCTTGGTCCCTGAGTTAGTTAGTTAAAGCCAGCAAGTCTGTTTATCTGACATTGGGATTCAAGGCACTTAAGTCTGGAGACTAAGTGTGCACTGTTTAGAATCATACTAACTAGGAACCAAAAAGTCTTCCATCAGTTTTCAAAGTAAAGTTAAAAACTCAGTGTCATTACTTTAATATTAGCAACACAAGATCAAATAAATAGTTACGTTATATGGCCAGGACAATTAGGTTTTGAGTAAACTGAAAACCAAATGCATACTGCTGTGACTGCAAAGTAGACAGAATGGCAGCAAGCTGGTATGAGCTCTATGTGGGGATGGAACCTAGAAGAGAAGAGCGCCCTACAGGGTTTTTTTTGGCTCAGTTTTCTTCCCTCTTGCTTCACTCGCACATGGAAAGGCAAGCAAGAATACTTTAGAAAGCAGTTTCTTTAGAAGTTTTAAATTTCTTGCTACTGATACTTACTCAAGATTTTTAATTTTCGGCTCTTCCAATTTCATCATGTCAAATAGTTAGAATCTATTCTTTATTCCTCCCATGGTAACCCTCTGTACAACTAATCTGGCTTTCACTGTGCTTAAACCTTCTTTTTAAACCACCCTAAACTTCTTGGGAGTCAATTTCCTGCCTATTCGGTATTTAAACAGTGTTTAGCTTATCACATAGCAATAGCAGACTTACTGTCTTTCATTATGGTCAGCAATCCATATAATTAAATTGACTAATTAGTAATTAAGTGCAATCACACCGCTTTTTTTTCAGCTCAAAGAGTCTACTTATTGTATGTTGCTGGTGTAAATTGCATATTAAATCTATCTAGACACTGACACACTTAAACATAAGTTAACACACTTAAACACACCACATAAATGTGTTTAGAATTACTTGTTTCCGATATCTTATGATGTAAAGCATAATTTGAAAAAAAAGATAAAATAATATTGTAAAAGTACTATTTCTCATCTTGGAAGCACTACAAGGGGAGGTACTCATACAGCAACCCACAGATGCAGGCACTCAACTTCCATTTCTTTCTTTGAGTGCTAAGCATGCACTTAAAATCATTTTCAGAATAGGGGAACTATTTAAGCAGGTGTTCCATTTAAAAAACATCAATATTCAGATTAAGATTATTAGACTACTGATTTGCTTTTAAAATCATGAACATACTTAGTAATATTTCTGGTGAAAACAACCCCCTCAAACTGCAGATAAATACAGATAAACACGTGCATCTATATGAAAGTCTCAGTTAAATGTAGCCTGTAAAATCCTAGGTTCACTAATATCCACGTCTATTTTAATCTGCTGCTCTTTTCAGTCACGTTTTTTTTTTTTTTAAATTACATCCTAAGAAAACAGTACTGAGTTTTTAGATTTAGTATCCACATAGAAGGAAAGAGCTAAATTTATTACACCAACTGAGAACAGTTCCAAGAACTTACTGTTGCCAAATCTACTGCATTTATGGGGTTTTCCATTTTATAAGTTAACATATGTAGTAAATACTTGAAAGTTTTATCTACGCTAGGAAAAAAAAAGAGGTATGTTATTCCTTCCTATTGGAGCTTCACCACTGGAAGGGATGATAGAAGCTGTAAGCAGCATAACTACCCTCAGAAAGGTGGTAAAAATACCAAGAACAAGTTTATACATAAATTTTGCTAAGGTTAACACAATGGAAAGGGCATGTATACAAGTAACTTTTAAAAAAAATTAGTATTTTAATCTACATATATATTATCTGTGAATCAATTCATTAGTACAATTAACAATCAGAAAAAATCTCTAGAGTTGAGTCCAATTCACTGGGAAAAATGTTTTAAAACCTATTTTGAATGCTGCTGAATAAAGGTGATGGATCTTTAAATATTGACATACACAGATGTACATTTAATGGATTCTAAAGTAATATTGGCTTGTATCGAACAAGCTTGTAGATATAACATTTTAATCAATGCAGTGCTATTGTAGATATCACTTACAAATACTGAAACAGTTCACCATTAGCTTTCTTTTTCTCTGAGTGTTAGCATTAGTAAATTTTTCTCCACGAAGTATATCATTCACATTTTAAATGATGGCTCCAAATTAATTTCCTTATTTTGTAGAAATACCAATGATCAAAGGCTTATTGCTATTCAACCACTGTTCTGTACTTTTTAAGCTGCATACTCCTCTATCAATTTATAACCACACACCAGCTGTTTCACTTGCTGTAATGTACAATGCAGGGTGCCATCTATTGAAAAACGAATACACATACTAACTACTAAAAGAACAAGCTGGAGAGTGAATACAGGAAAAGAGGATAGTAACAAGCAATGGAGTGAATGCTTCACAGCTCCACTGCAATTCTGCTGGCAATAAAGTAAATGTTTTAATTTGTTTAACTCAGTCGCAACTTGAATGAGGACCCAATGAAAAATAAAGAACAACAAGAGCTGTGATTAATAAGTTAGTATAGAATTGAGATCTCCTATATTACAAATAGATATTTAAAATACCTTTTGAAAAATCAGGCTTATAGCTTAAAATATGATGAAGAACAGCAAACTTTTCATGCTTTAAAATTTTCACGCAAAACTTGTTTGTGATAGAAAATTAAACTAGACTGGGTAAATTTTAGGAGAAGAAAATATCAAAGCTATCACGTCCTACAGACACTTTCCACATGCTAGTTTTGCATGTTATGCAGTGGCCAAATGGAGATGTAAAGCTCTTCTGCTGCACCTACCTCGTCACTAGAAAAGAACACAAAACTACATCAATGTAAATAGTAAAAAATATGTGAAATCCAGGCTCAGAGAATTCCTAAATATCACTATTTGCTTATTCTTGAAAATCTGTCCTTTCACAAGGTGCGAGAAAAGCCACAGAAAAAACCAACTAACCAACCAACCAACCAAATCAGTCTATAAAGCTCCATAATTTTGCCAGCTTCCAGCTGAGACAGGATGTTACACAAGAGAAGCAACGTATTCAGAGTTGTGAGTGTCAGAACCTGCCAAAATGTTTTTCAGCATTACAGCAACTGGGCCTTGTTTTCAGAAGTTCCCGTGGACTTCAAACTATAACTGAAATTCAAGCCCAACTTACCTACATAAACCTAAAATAAAGTATTTTAGTGAACTTTCCTTCATTTGAAAAAATGCTTTCCTCCTACGATGAAATAATTTAAGTTTTCTTAGAGGGGAGGAATAGAGTGTTGTTTATACTTCAGATTGAGATAATAAGTAGCATAGTGGAAGTATTTATCTGTTCAGCTTTTTAATTAGTCCATTTTTCATATTTTCTGCTGTACATGAAAAACAATTAAAACAAATTTGTGCCCTATTCAACTGAGATCAAGGGTAGAAGGAAAGCAATCTAGAGGGTAACTTAGGATTAATGACAGCTTTGAAATAGATATAGAAGCAATTAATATCAAGATGCACTGAAATTTGTACTAGCATCCAGTGCCTGTGTCTGCTTAAATTCCTGCCCTTTCACTGGAAAAGCGACTTGTATACGTATACCAGTATTAGGAAGAAGAACTAACAAGAGATATTGTCTTTAAAAATAGACTGATGAATATAGAATATATTAATCCTGTCTCAAAGCTCTTTGCAAAGTGTGTGTCTGAATCATTACCAATTTTTGAAATGTACACTATTCATAGATAGATACCTGATGAGGACCTCTGACGGTTGTTCCCGCAGCTTCTAAAGAAAAAATTGCTTCAGGTACACTCTGGTTTGTGTGCTTAGGTACAAACGTGAAACCACTGTCTGTTGTTTTTAAACATGGTATTTCATGAATATTTTCTATAGGCACGTTTGCATGATCTGAGGGGTTTGTTTTGTCAACAGTAGTTAAGCTTTGTAAAGCTGAGGTCATGAGATCAATACCATGAGCTTCAAATGAGTTAGGTTCCAGTTTACTGAGGTTAGCAGCACGGTCTCTGTGCTCCAGGTTAAAATGATGATCTTGAAGCATGTTTTCAGCTATACCGGTACAAGAAACTGTTGGTTTTTCCTGAGTGCTCTGCAAGAAAGCAGAGTCATTGTCTGTAGGTGGAAACTTGACATTAAATTTAGAAAGTGATTCTACAGAGTTGTTGTCCTCATCTTGGCCCACTCCTCTTGGTGTGATAGATGTGATGCATGATGCACCTCTATTTATATCCTTTATAACCCGAGGCTTAAAAAGCTCTTCTGCTTGTTCATCAGTTTTATCAGTACACTGTATCGGCATGGAAAACTGTATTTCTGTGAAGAAAGAATGAAGAAAACATTAAATAGTCCATTGAAGTACAGTTATTAAAGATGTGGTGTTGGGGATATTTTTCCTGAGGGGTTTTTGATCTTCTTGGTTTTTTTAACTGTTACTTTTTTCTCTTTAAAATCAGATTGAATTCTCTTTTACAAATGAGCTCTGACACAAAAACTATCAGAACAGAATAAAAGGAAATAATTATGTTCTAGTAATTCTATTTCTGTTCGATTTACGGGTACAAACATTTTCATTTTATTGAAAATTATGTTGTCCCATACTCTTAACACATACTTGCATATATTTACTGAAGTGTTCTGGCAGAAATAGAAGCTGGAACCCAAACCATTTCACACAGTGCCAAGAACATGCTAGGCACCATGAGCACGATTTTAGAAGGTATTCAGGTACCAAACTCCCACTGGTTTCCAAATTAGTTAAATATTTAAACTGAATAACTATTCAAAAATGGGACCATATTTTCACTTGTTTTGAGAATTCTCCCTTCGCTTTCAGCACTTTATTAACAAAAATGATAATAATGTACATGGTTAATCCTAATCAGGTGAGATAATAACTTCAGTACACATGGACTGTACAGCACCCTTCTAAGATCACTCAGATATTGCAGTAAAGTGGAACATAGAAGTAACAAAAATCAAATAGATTAAATCTATATCATGTATAGCTTTTCACACTGTTGAGTTAGGCACTTCTTTAGGAAAACCAAAACCATCCTGAAGTAAGTTGCCAAATACGCATCCTCCAAAATTTCCACCCCCAAATAAGAAAGTTATTAACGTATATAACAATACAGTTCAGACGTAGTAATTTGAAGCCACAAGATACATGTTAGCACTTCATGTAACAAAACATCAGTAATGGATGGCCTAAATTAAAAGAAAGCGCTGAAATCAGCATATTTTGCATCAACTGAGTTTGTGTGAGTTTGGCAGGTGTTTATTGAAATCACTTAAGAGTCTGATCCTACTATTCGAAAAACTACTAGAGAATATCCACAGTTTACATTATATTAAACTTAAGCATTAGGAGACCTGGATATCCAGGATCTCTTACTGCTGCAACAAAAATCAAGCCTTTCTTTTGTTTTCAGGAAGTGTTGGATTAAGCTCTTGTCCCATATAACAAAACAGTATTCAAAAGTCTGCACAAGTAAGTCTAGAAAGTAAGTTCTCTGACTGTCCTCAGTCCAGCAGTTTTCCTCTAACAGATATGGGGCCAGAGACATTCATAACAGACATCTTTTGAACTGACAGCTAAATTAAAAGCAAGCAAGTGCTGTCATTCACACAGTATGATGGGATATCACATGTAGTAAGTGCCTGCCTCTCACTCCAAGGGACAAAACAATTACAAGAGCCATTGATGTGATGACTGTCTTTTATAGCATGTGATTTGGAGCATTCGTCATAGAATGCCAAAACTGGCGGTGCTTTTTCTTGGTGAAATACTGAGCACCATGTGAACAGACTTGAAAAAGGCAGATGGTAAACAGTGGAAGTACTTCTATGTATGTGTAATTTGCAGTATTTTCAAATATAAAGCAAAGCTTTCAAACAGTTGAATCACAATAAGAGCTTAAGTATGATATTACCAGTTTCAGGTTCTGGCTTTATCTTAAATTTAATCAGTTGGTCTGTTTGTTCTTTGGCTAGCATACATATTCGATGACACTCTTCTTTCATGTCCTGGAAAATAGTCTCTAGATTCTCTCTGGAAGATCAAAATTGTAAATCAAGAGTCAACCAATTCAGCTTGTGACCTTTAATCTAGTCACACCCAGAAACCAGAGAAAAGCAATAGTATAAGCTACTTTTCTTGGAGATCTTGTTCCTCAACATATGTATACATATTTTTGTTCTCCTCATAAAAGCAAGCAGAAAAAGGAAAAGAAAATGTTATCAAAGAGCTGTTTAGTCATATAATGCACACATATATTTGAACTTAAGAACTGACTCTGCAAGGACTGCCCCCAGATATCCAGCCTTTATATTTCTTTCATTTCCCTCAGGTATTTTGTGGAACAGTTTATCTTTCCCATGGGTACTGTTTCCACCTCATTCTTGGAAAAATAAGATTCTGCCACTATGAACATTGTTTTCTGTTGTTGTCTGTGCACTTCAGACTTTGCAGAAGAAGGAACACATAAGCATTTGTTACTGTTCTTTCCATTTCTGTCTACCTTGCATTTTGGAGAGGGGCTCGTGAACTCATTCCCTCTCTGTTTTATACAATACCATATGAATTTTCCTTTTATTTTGAGGGATTTATTTTATTATATCTTTTCCAGAGTATCATATGGCCATCTGATATTTAGTTATCTGCACTGAGAATGGTAAAAATAGTTCATGCTGATGTGAGTTTATTTGTCCAAAGGCATTTTGTTTTTCAGTTATTGATGCATCCATGAAATTCCATTGTGAAATTTCTATAAACTTGCTGAGTAATTTATCTAATCAAAACATAATGAATTTTATAAAATTAACTTTAAGAATGAAAAAGTGAAGTTTGATTTATGTTCTCTTTTGCATCTTTGTATCAAAAGACCTCAAAAGGGACTTTGCTTTAATCCACAGAATAGTTTACTTCATTTATTGCTTATTTGTATAGCAATCAGGCTGTGTTCCTACTTCTGCTGTGCTTCTCTTCTTGAAGAGAATGTCTCACAAATGTCTATTTGTATCTCTTTGGAAAAAAAGATCGGCAGAAGGAGTTAAAGTTGCTGCTTTTAACATTCACATTCTGACAATTTTTCAGATGTTTTAATACATAACAAATTATAAAAGACTTGAGTTTCTAATCAGAGCTTTAAAATATACATAGTATTAGATGAAGCAGGCTTAATTTGGTAGACATTTGTGATATTACAATCTTCCTAGTGTAAGATTACTAGCAATCTTACCAATCACATACCTCTTTCCAAGAAAACAGTAAAGTAAGGGAGCTATTTGAGAGCAGGGAGACAGAAGACAGGTAAAGTTTTTTAATTTTTTAGATATAAATCAATAAAGACAAACAAATCTTTCTCACATCACAGTCTTATTTCCTCTCCTTCTTATTCTAAAGGAGTAGTGAGCCAGATTAAAGATCCATGCACTTCACCTAGCCTATGTCTGAGAGTGGTCAAGAGAGTGACGGGCAAGAGAATAAGGAGACAGCAAGAATTTACCCTATTTAATCCCTTAATACTCCCCTAAGCTCACTTTACAAAATATTCTACTTGACCTCAGCATAATTGTTAAAAGTGGCATTACTGCCTATCCAATGAAAAATGCGAACCTAAGACTTTGGTCAATATTCTTCCAAAATCACTGGCAGAAGAGGGAATGCTTGCTTAGGAAATCTACTGCTTTTGGTCCCTTGGTCACAGCAGGGGCTCACTGGTTTCACCTTACAGATAAACCTAGTTTCAAACTCTCTCATTTAGGATGGATCAGGCCAAGAATTATTTCCTCATACTGACTATCAGACCTCCTCTTGGCAGCACAGCAGGCTTCTCTGCTGTGCTGCCATCAGTTAATCCATTAAGGTTGTACATTCCTGTCCTGAAGAGAGTTAATGCAAAGGAGTTAATGCTTATCCAAACTCCGTTTCTGATTTCCAGAGTTTAACCTCCTGCTGAACCAAGTGGTTACTTTAATTCCTCCCAGTTTATCCCTACATACTTGTAAAGCCCCAGCTATGACTTCACATAGTTGCTGGCTTTATTATCTTCGACCTCTGATGCTCCCCACTCCCCACTTCTCCCCAGCCATTTCTTAAGATACTATGTGGAAAAGAGGGCCTTATTTAATGACAGAAAAGACAAAAGCAAATTTAAGAAATGCTGCAAAAGTATTTACCTTTCAGGCATAGGTGAAATACCAGAGATCCCTAGAGATAATTCAGGCTTATCTGGAACACCTTTCTTACTTTTCACCTTGAAGTAAAATATGAAAATATTGAGCACACATTAGCATATAAACTTTGCGCTTCATCTTGCTATGAATAAAAATGTCATGGGGTCCTTCACCTAAGTCCTGCTGGAAGCTATCAAAACATTCAAAAAATGACAAAACCAGTTTTTTAATGTTTGTGTGAAATTCCTATTTTCAGTTTAACAGTTTTTAGGTTAATGCAGTGTGGCATTCCTCTGCTCATACTCCATTGAAGGGAACTGGTCCTAAGAATATTGCTTGATTGTAATTCTTTTCAGTCATGTATAAGGTAAGATTATGTATTTTGTATAAGCTTGTTAGTGAGGTGTCCAGATATTTTAGCTCTTAAAAATCAATTTATTCACTGAAATTTTCAATGAACACACCACAAGCTAATATGTCAGGAGCTCTAGCAGGTTTTTAAATAAGTTATTAACTTTGACTACCACCGTGTGGTTCACTCTAGTATTACATAGTTTTAAATCTGCCAGGTATTAAGGAAAGTTTTTATAATAACCAGTCATTAAGCAGTAGTTCCACTAGAGCTGCATTACCAGATGGCCTGGGTAGTTCATATGTGCTCCAAATCAGACATGAACTTGATCACACCTGCCAAATCAGCTGATTTATAAACCGTATAAGCTTAGAAATCTATATAAGCTGATACATTGCTTATAACCATAGACCCATAGCCCACAGGTGTGTCTTACCTTGCACTGAAGGGCAAGTGCAGCTCTTGTAGACACATCTGAGCTGCCTTATACTTAGTAACATGTTTTACAAGTGCTTGCCATAGTAAGTTAAGCAGTGCTTGGGACATCTAATAGCAACAACTTATGTGTTGCTGTGCTCCCACTCTTACCTGTGTTCACTTTAAATTAGCTAGCTAAAATATGTGTACATGGTTAGATTCACATCAATGACTCTAGCTATCCCACAATGACAGAACAGCACTCTGGATGCTATTCTGTAACAAAACCAGGGTGGCATAAAAATGAAAGAAATCAACTCAGTCTTGGTGAAAACTTCCAGCTGAAATTTATAAACCAGAAATTATAATCTGGAGTTTTCACAAATATGAACATTTTAAAGACATAACATAAAATAATTAACATACAAACCAACCAATATGTATTTAATGGTATTCCCTGAGTGCTTTATACACAGACAATTTCCTAGTAATTATACAATGCTGAAATTTAAAATATGCTTATTAGAATAATTAGAATAAATTCCAAATATTTCATGTTTGAAAGAGTTTACAAATGTTTTGTCTTTTTCATTTTATCTCTGTTTGGTTTCTTATCTTACCTCCCTTTTATACATTGGCATCTGTATACTCTTTTGTGCTTCATTTAATTCTTTCAATTTGCTTTTCAGATTTCTTATTTTATCTTCTTGGTTGGAAATAACAGATAAAAGCTTCCTTTCCTTTTGATTGCTTTTGTCCTCAAGTTGCTTCAATTTCATGCTCTCACTTTCTAACTGTTCCTAAAAAATAATTTTAGAAACACCAGGACAATTAATAGAACTGAGACTTGTGGACTAGCACTATTCAGCAGTCTGGAATAAGCTAAATTAAGGTTTTGCAACATAAGTAAGGGTCAGTCTTATTTATTACATTATTACTTTTAAAATGATAGTAAAAGCCTTCTACCACTGCACATAGATGTAACTTTTCATAGATGATTATTCAAAGCAACTGTATCTTCTGGATTTCTCAAAGTCATATTAGTGTTTATAAAAAATAAAGACAGTTCAATTACTGTATAATTTACATTAGTATTTTATATATTTTGCATGTACAATACAACACATAAAATAATATTTCATGAATTTCAATCTTAAACCATTTCAAAGATGGTGATAATTCTGCAGCTATCTTAATTTTTGAGCAAACCCAAGAACTCAATAATAGAATCACAGAACATCTCAAATTGGAAGGGACCCATAAGGTCCAAGTCCAACTCCCTGCTCCTCGCAGGACTATCTAAAACTAAACCGTATGACTAAGAGTGTTGTCCAGGCAGTCTTTGAATTCTGACAGGTTTGGTGCCATGACTGGCTTCCACGGAGAGCCTGTTCCAGCAATCAACAATCCTCAGTGAAGAACCTTTTCCTAATGTCCAACCTGAACTTCCTCTGACGTAACCTCATTCTGTTTCCTCGTGTCCTATTATCAGTCACCAGAGAAAGGAGATCAGCACCTCCCCATCTGCTGCCCCCCTTGAGGAAGTTGTAGACTGGGGTGAGGTCACCCCTCAGGTTCTCCTTTCTGAGCTCAGCAAACAAGTGACATCAGCTGCTCCTCATAAGTCTTGCCCTTTAAACCTTTCACCATCTTGGTCACCCTCCTCTGGACACACTCTGGTAGTTTGATGTCCTTCTTGTTTTGTGGCACCCAAAATTCACCACAGTGCTCGAGGTGAGGCTGCACCAGCGCAGAGCAGAGCAGGACAAACACCTCCCTTGACCAGCTGGCGATGCTTTTCCTGATGAACCCCAGGACCAGTTTGGCCTTTTCGCTGCCAGAGCATATTGTTGACTCATATTAACTTGCCCTCAACCCAAATCTCAGATCTCTTTCTGCAGGGCTGCTCTCCAGCCTCTCATCCTCCACAAGGATTGTACTGCAAATATTTCAATCCCATAAAGATTTGTGAAATAAAAAGCTCTGGCTGACCTCACTTTAATGATCCATCTAGTAATTAATGGAATTTTTATGTGTGTGGGTTTTTTGGAAGAATAACAAAACATTTTTTTCATATGCTCAAAGACAGTACTTGCAAAAATTTTCAAGACCAACCAACAGTTAAAAACTGCTGCTATGAATACCTTTTAGTTGTCAGTTTATGAAATTTATAGAAACCCTAATCCTGAGCCATATCAAGTGTCACAAAAAGTGTCCTGAAGCCCCATGATTATCTCTGTGAGAGAAGTACACCCAAAAGTTAACTCTTTCAGAAGAGTGTAACTGAAATGCAGTGAGATAGTCTGTAGGCAGGTAGGGCAAGGTTAAGAGGAAAGAAGCAGCTAAGTGCTTTTCCAAGACCATGTTTTGTTTTCAAATGAAAGTTAAATAGGGTGAGGTTGTGCATTTGGAGATTAGGTAGGTAGGTAGGGCTACTCTACTTGACAATGACAGCCATGCAGGGGTGGGTCCAGAGCTGATTCACTAAGACACCAGCTGGTTAAGTGTGGATGTGTGTACATGTAGCTGACACAAGTTTTTAGCCTCAAAAGGTAATACTAGCTGGATTGAAAAAAAAACAAAAACAACAAACAGTAAACAAAAACCTGCAGAAAAATAGCTTTGTAGCATTGGTTTTTAGTCTCAATTGTGACTTTGAATAGTAAACCTACAGTAAGAGCTTCAATGCAACTCTAGACTTGGGTGGTATCTCGGAGATCCAGATTAAGCCTCTTCTGCTCAGTGACTTCAAAGTACTGGCTAAAAATGGCACGTTATCACAGCAAAACTCCTTAATCCTAGCCTTTCTTCCACACTTTGCATTTCTGGCAGATCAAATCCCACTTCGCATTTAAAAAAAGCCAGGGGACACAGTTTCTCCTGAATTTTCTTCTGACAAAATCCAAATATGTAGGAAAAAGCTTTCATCAAAGATAATGCCCTTGAAGAACAACTGTATCTTAAGGACAGTAAAAGAACTCTTTCACTGAGCATGTGATACAGCATAATTTATGTTTGGTAGTATTACAGCTCCAATTCCCGTGTGGGCTTTCAAAAGCCTTCAGATAAGTGGAACCACTGCAGCAATGGCCAGTAGTTCTCTTCCATTTCTCCTGTATCTCCTGCAGGAAGTGAGGACAAGATTTAAGTAAGCAGGAGAAAAGCCACATGAGAAGAACCATTGCAACATGTTGCAATGAGGACATATCAGTACATACTGATACAGTACATTTTTGTCCACCATTAGGATACCAGGAAAAGCACTGGAAAACCTTTCAGGATCTTTCAATAATATAACTGTTTATAGCTTGACAATCTTACAGCTTCCAATACTGAGTTTGGTGGTTTGCAATGACATGATAACACTTATAAACTGCCTGAAGTTTATAAAGCGAATGCTTCATACGCTTTATAAGTTTTATAAACTTCATAAGTATGTCACACAGGTCATACCTGCTCAGTTAAGTACTTTGCAACACACTGGATCTTTTAAGCATGCTGGTATTAGCTGCCAGCAAAGTAGTTAAATATGTATTATGAACAGATCAGTATATTTTCTTTTGGAGAGGCTTTATAGGATCAGAGGATAATTGAACTTGGAAGGGACCTCAAGGGTTCTCAAGCTTCTAACCAAATCAGGGTCAGTTACAATGTTTGATCAGGTTGCTCAGTTCGGTCTTGAATTCCCCAAAGATGGAGACTGCACAACCTCTCTGGGCAACCTTTTCCAATGTCTGGCTGTCCTCACGGTGAAATATTTTCCCCTAAGTCCAGTCTGAACCTTTACTGTTTCAATTATCCATTGTCTCTTATCCTCTTGCCATGCACCACTGTTAAGAGCCTGGCTCCATCTGCCTGCAACCTCGATGTAGGTATTGGAAAACTATTAGCTTCCCCTGAAGCCATCTCTTCTCCAGGCTGGACAAGTTCAGTTTCTACAGCCTCTTCTCATGGGAGAAGCCCTCAGTGGAGCCTCTCCTGAACTCTAATTTGTCTTTGCGGTACTAGAGGTCCCCAAATTGGATGTAGTATTCTAGATGCAGTCCAGTGAACACTGAACAGAGGGAGATACTCACTTCCCTGGGTGTGTTAGCTGTGCTCCCATTAATATAACCCAGGAAGTTGTTGCCCTTCTTCTCTGTTAGGATATGCTGCTGGCTCACGCTCAGCTTGCTGTTTAACAAGATCCCAACTCCTTTCCAGCAGAGCTGCTTCACAACCACTTAGTCACCAGTACTGCAGCAAAGGCAGGTCCTTTTATTTTTCCCTGAAGTGTGATATAATGACCTGTTTCAGTGGCTTCCTAGAACAAACAAATGGTCATATGGTTTCAAGGAAAAACACTATTCAACTGATGTGAACTGTAAGTGGTCTTAAGGAATATCAAGTGTAACTTTTAACAGTATATGCACAAACTCTTCTTTATTATTGGGTAGAGATAGATTAAACAGATGAAGCAATAGGAGAAAAGGCTACTGATACCAGAATTTTTTACATCTGGTAGCAGGGCCTAATCCTACTGTATACATCAAACCAGTGGCAGATAACAGCTAAGTGTATAAAATTGTCAGCTAGCATAAAATCAAGTACAGCTTTCTTCGCATTAAAGATAGGAAGCAAAGCGACACCAGAGAAGCTGGTATTGGCTGGAACATGCAACTCTGCAAGACTGCTGCAATAGCTGCTCTTAGTTATGTAAGTCGTTTTAGGACCTTAATTTAGAGCATAAAGATGACTACCATACATCTGCCATTCCTCTGTTTATGTCCTGCACAAAAAAGAAGACCTAAACATTTATTGCTGGATGAACAATTTTGTATAACATATGCATCATTCATTCCTGACACACAGTTTTCTCCTCTTTTTCATGGCACAAAACACTCTGACGAACAAACTCCACACCGTGTTTAATACTGAAATTCTTGAACCAGGAAAATGTGATCATGAGCATGTTGTCTTGTCACAGGTGTTGACTTCAGCTTCATGTTTTATTGAGTTTATAAGAATTCTGTTCTAAAAAGTAGAAGCTTGACATTGTCTCATCTCTAAGGTTTTCTGTTTGCTGGGCAGCTTTGGCTCTGAGAGAGTAACCGGATACAAATTCTTCCTACTCAAAGTCTAGCCAGTGTCTCAAAACCAGGCAGCAATATAGGGCCCTTTAGTCTTCTCAGGCAGGTGACTGAAAAAGTCTCTTAATCTTGTTTATATATGGTACTGACCAAAAAGCTAATCTGATCCACTCACCTCTTTCAGTGAAGACAGATGTGTGCAAAAAAAAATCCTAAAACATTTTATGACACACAGGCAACAGAACTTGAGAACAGCATATAAAATACATAAGTATGACCAACTACCAGAAAAAACACAAAAGACAGCCCCTCCCTCATCTTAAACCTCTTAAATTTAAGCTCTAATCATGTACCTATTACAATCAATTCAGGATTCCTATTCACTTTACTGCAGGACAGAATACAATCCAGTGAAAAATTCCATTGAACTTAGCAAAAGACAGTTTCAGAAGGTATCTATAAATCCAGGCTCTCCAGCCATGGGAGAGACTCTGAGGAGGCTGTAAAGGACAATGCCTGCAGGCATAATTTATTTGGTTCAGAGCATAATGTGGATGGAGTATGACTAGAAAAATACAGAGTCTCATAGAATATTTGAACTTCCAAATTTCAATACCTGAAAAAGCCAATACTTTATTGAATTAGGTATAAGACAACCATATTGGGCCAGTGAGAGGATGATGGATTTTTGATCTAACAGATGTCAAATTATAATATTTAGGGGGAAAAAAAGTACAAGGAAACAGGAGACATTCATGATACATCCTTTAATAAATTCCCAGATCTTCTTAGGAATAGTTTCTATGTATTTATTAACTCTCAGCAGATTTTTTGTGCATGAAGTTGTCCAGTTTTCTCTTGAAGCACGAACTTCCACTGGCTGACTACCTATTCTGTGGGTTTTTTCACTTTTACTTCATTTATTGAGAAAGGCAAAGAAATGGGAACTCTTGAGTTTTCCACAACTTGTTTCACACATTCATTCCATGCTGTTTATCCTTCGCACATCAAAACTTCTACATTTAAGAAGTACAAAAATTGGCAGCTGCCACAAAGGCATACAAAGCATTTAACACAATTCAATTAATTTTCCATCATCTTCAACAGGAAGTTGGGGTTATATGGTTCTTCTCCGAGTTTATTCAATAAAATGAGAACTTGTGTAGAGAGTGCTGTGTATCTTACTTATAGCCAGTTCATGAATGGCATGGCCAAGACACAGCCAGAGCCAGTAGAAGTGCGTGTGCCTCTGCTGTGCCATCTGGACAACTTTGTATCCTTTTGCCAGGTTATTGCAAGTTTACTAGACACAATATCGAACATTAGGGTCCTCCTCGCATCAGAAGGATGGTGTAAAGATACCCAAGTGCCTCTGCAGAAGCCAGCTTTTGTCCAGTCAACATTTTTCCTCAAGCTCCATGCCCTCAATACAGAGTAAGAGAGCTACTACATTCCTACAAACAGGAACATAGAGTAGGCTGGGTCAACCCAACTTTGCATGGGTTTGAATCCCTACACATCCCCTCTGAAAAGACCTTATCTATATAGCATTGTACCTGGGTTTAAATGCAGAAAGACTGTCTAGTTGATTCTGCATGGAGTTATATCAGTAATATTTCTGTTCATGGCACAGAAGCAGAAAAATCCAGATGAAATACCTATTGCTGAGAGGTAGCTGCAGTAAGTGACTACACACAAAAATATGCAGATGAAGACAAATAATGTACATTCCATTAAGAAAACAGCTCCTGAAATAACGATTGCACCTTTTCATGCACTGTCTATAATCACTGCCTACGTAATCTCCTGTACAGCTCACATAATCTCAGTGCTTGCCAATGAGAAAAGCAGATAACGCAGCTTCTCCTTTCTCCTACTCATTCTATTGACTAAGTTACTTACAAATACTGTTCTTCAGCAAGCATTCAGAAACAAGAGTATGAAACATTAGACTTGATCAGGTCTTCATGCACAAGTGTAAGGCATAATTTTTATCCAACTCAAGACAGTGAAATGCAAAAATATGTAAAGATGTTCCATTAAAGAATTAACCCTTCAAATGTGTTCTAATCCAAATAAATGTAAAGATTTGAAGGAAATGGCATCTTGTGATTACAGATTCTAGTGCAGAAAAATTATATAGAGACTTTTTTAAATAGAAAAGGAGTGTATATATATATATATTTTCTAATGGTATGTTTAAAATGTTTGCAAAGGCTTAGTCTCAAATGAGATTCCTTCAGGAAAATTAAGCAAACACCAGCAATCAATAAAATTAACTTTGCAATTAACACTTCTGATAAAAAAAGGAATTTCTGTGAATTTAGCATAATTAATTTGTTTGTACCTCAGGTTTAGGAAATAAATCCTGAAATAGATTCTTTTTAAATATAATGCCTGATTTCACACAAGGGTCTATTTACAACCCTTACAGGGTCTCTGCTATGGAGCTACGGAGATTCATATTTAAAAATAAGACATTTTATGTTACAAGACTGTTCTCAAAAAACATGAAATGACAGGATAAGAACAATGTAACTTTATGCATCTCTGTCTTTTCTTAGTATGTAAAATCCATTTAAGTCATATTCTGCACTATTGATTTACTCTTATTCCTGTTACTCTCAATAGGCTGTAGTAAAAATCTCAGTGTTACTTCAGTGAAGAGAGGCAGAAGAGACATTGTCTTAAACCTGGCTGTTTAGAAAACCCAAACAAATCAGCAGCATATCTGGAGCAATGGATGGTTCACTTTCCACTCCATCACTCTTTGAGTGCAGATTCTCCATTTCTTGCAAAAATACAGAGACTGGTTGCAATGTGAAATGATCTTGTAAGAAAGAAAAAGCCCTTTTCTGACCACTGATTTTGGCAAATTAAAAAAAAAAATAAGCAAGTAAGTTCCTACTTTATGGTCAAAACTATTCTAGGGAGCTTGATGGCCAAACAGAAATTTCACTGTGAAGGATCAAAGGTAGATGCTTGGTTCACCTAAACAGACTGCAGCACCACAACACTAATGCACTTCAGGTGTAGCTCAAAGGGACCAGTAAAAATCTCACTTACCTCTTAGGGTCTCATAGTATAATCACAGCACAAATGTGAACTTACATTAAATATATTGCAAGTGACCGTACCTTTAATAGTTTTTCTCTTTGCTTTGCTATGTTCAGTTTTTCAGAGAGCTGGCTAAAAGGTAAGTTGAATGTTTCAATGTCTTCATGCATCAGAATGTAGGGATGTGCACTACCTTAAATTACAAAAAAAAAAAGGCGACTATCACTGCATTTTTCACAGCCAGTTTATAAGTACAAGTAAAATTCAGTGAAGCTAGACTTACTTATATTAACTCTTTTATTTTCTTTGAGCAAGCCTTCATATTAAATAAGCAAGAGAAGGCAAATTCAGTGCTTGGAGACAATGTAAGACTAAATCAGCAATAAAGGATGTACATGTACTCCTAAAAATAAAAGTCAGCCACTTTGCTAGTATTTATGAAAACCAGGAGTGTTAGGCTAGTGTGAATAAATATTTAATGAGCATGGCAGATTAACACATGGTTACTTTGACTCTTTTCTCTTATTTGTGTAATACAGTCAAACAGTGAAAAATTATCCATCAATGACTATTTGATTTGAAAGAGAATTACCTGCTTATAAAATCAGGTTATCCAATAAGATTAGCATCACAAGAGCCATCTAACATAAAAGACATACAATCATAGCACTTACATCTAGAAGAATCTGAGACAAACTTATTAACAGATAAGTGTAAAATTAATATGTAACATTTTTGTAATTCTACTGAATGATTTGAACCTATATTTTCATAACTTTTATTGGCTTCAGTGTAAGCAGGTTCTACCTCTAAAGAAAATCTCACCATTTCTTGAGGAGGATAAAGAGAGACCCCAGAAGTGTTGCATTTTATAAATAGATCTTGAAATGGCACATTTGTGTTAACTCTCACATTCACAGAAAAGTATGATACTCATTTGAGATATGTATATTGTAAAAACTGAAGAAACAAAGTCAGAACTATTCGTCAGAGCAACACAGCATAAAAAGCAATAACGTGCAAACTGGAGTACATACCTCTATTAGCATTCAGAGCAGCCAACTGTGATTTCAGTTTTGCAATAATGCTGTTTTGAAGCTCTATCTTTTCCTGCTGTTCACGTATTTGCTGCATGTAGTTTTCTGTCTGCAAATACAATATAATTAGCATTAATCTTATACTGTTTTGACTAGGGGTCTCCTACTTGGCATATAAAAAGCAGCTCTGATTTTAAAGAGAAGTGTAGTTGTGGTCCTCTGCATGAAAACCTTTGGCAAGTCCATATTTTTGGGACTGCACTGATTAGAAAAGGTATTATAGGAAATAAATCCTGAGTTTTGTAACTGTTTCAATTGTCGCAGTGGTAAGGGGTAACTTTTAAGTTAGGATTCTTAAGTCAGGCTTAAAATTAAAATTTTAGTATTCTTCAGAATGCTGGCCAGTTAGTTTAACTATAGAAAGGAGTAATTTTCTTCCTCCATATTTGCTAAAAAATTAAACAAAAAAGCTTTTAAAAAGATTTAAAAGGCAAAACAAACAACATTGCTTATTCCATACAACAGATATTCTGTAAATAATTTTGACTGCCTATGAACAGTTTCATCCGTTTCTTCGAACGTAGTGGACTTGTTTTTCTACCCTACATCAGTGGGACGGGGGGGAAGGCAAGCAAACAGTCCCATCCTGTATCTCCTATACTCCATCTCCTGCTATAAACAGGCCATACAGTCTCTAATAATACTGCTCATTTTTCACCAAAGTGTATAAATATTGCTAGACAGTCCGTTAATTGAACAACTGACCAGGTGATAGGAAGATGCTAATATTCAAAACTATTCTTTCATTAGAACATGCCAAATGCTGAAGTTAGAGCTGTGCTAAAAACAATCAAGAAAACTTGCAAAATCCCAATAAGAAAATGCTCAGGAATGCACCGATTTTTTCTGAAATTAAGAATGTGTCAATTACTGAACAGGTCACCATCTGTCACCACCTGGGACAATACTAGGCATTATTCTCATGTCTTTCAAAGTTTATTCATATTGTTATCTAATTCTCAAATCTCAGCCACATTTAAATACCATACCCTCCTACTGTCCAGTGTGTTTGTCTGTAAAGCAGGCAGAAAAAAATCTAAAAGCAAAATTTATTTAAAAAGTCCAGGTAGTAGTTGTACTATAAGAGTTTATTAAAAGGAAAAAAAAAAAAGTGATCAAAGAGCAGTACACTCCAGCAGCTAGAAGAGACCTCATGAAGCAGAAAAATCACTGAGAACCAAATTGAAAATGTACAACAGCAATGTCTTGTCAACACTTCTGTACAGAGCACAGACATGACAGCTAAAACAGACAGAAGAGAAGATGCTTTTGACAGCCAGTGTGCACAAATTATTCCTTGAGTCAGATGGCAGCAACAAGTTACCAACTAGAAGATCTGCATGACAACCAACCATCCATCTGTATCAAACACCATCTGGCCGAGATGACTCTGGCTTCTGTGTGCTTGACATGGCTCCCAGCTCTAGAGACTGGCAAAACAAGTGGCCTATCGGTAACTTAAGTAGTAAACTGTTAACAACAGCATGGTGGACAATCCAACAGTGTGTGGAGGCCACACAATGAACAGAGGAAGTTGCTAGAGTAAAGCACTGTATAAAGGTCATTCAAAAGCCAGGAGTTTTGTTAAAAAAAAACCCAAACAACACAAACAAAAAACCCCCAAGTAATTACAGTATCAATTTTTCTTGAAAAAACAGTTTTGTTCTTTTTTGAAGTCATAAAATTAATCTCTTTAAAGTTTGATTAGGACAAAGATTTAAACTGGTAGTAATCCTTTATCAAAGGCTTTAATTTTTAATTTATGAACCAGTAAAAGTGCATAGAGAAATCTTACAAGCATTTAGTTCACTTAACACTTATGATGTCACACTTCTCCAGTTTTCTTGCAAAGACTTTAGAAGGGCTATCTGATCTTGAACTCAATCTCTTGTTTCTTGGGCAGAAGTTTCTTTCACGTACTGTTAGATGACTCAGGAGTATTAACTTTAATAGTTTTTCTTCAAATAGTTAATTGTTCATCATAGGAAATAGAACTTAAAAGAACCCTTAACATTCTAAAACATCTTGCCTTTTGTTAAGTTAGTTGCAATTTCAGCACAAAAATCACACTACTTGTGCCTGTTATGTATAGAAATCTCTACAGATTTACAGCAGCACTGCTGCAAGACTATGAATAGAGACAGACTGCACAGTGGATGATTGCACACATGACTGACTTGTTATGTGTTCTGCAATGCCTTGGCTAGTTTTGTCATGCAAGGAGACGGCAAGATTGGGCCCAGATATCAGAATATTCTCTAGCAGACCCTTCCCTGCTCCCAGTTCTACTACTGCTTCCATAACTCGACACTGACTACGGTTCATCTGCCCCTGAACAAAGTCCCAGCCTATCAGTTCTACGAAGCATCAGTAAGTCCTGTAGCACCAAAACCATTCAAGCCTTTCTGTAACAGAGGTTCCATTGCTGGGAAGAATATGCATGATAAAACTACTATGACAAAGCCAACCCTGATAGCTTTGCAATATGTTGTCCTACTTGATGAGAAGTTCAAGAGGAGTTTTGACTGCAATGGACTAAGTAAAAATTCAAGTGTGCTCCTTACTGGTGAGAATGCCTCCAGAATCTGTTACTTCATAATTACAGAATAATTGTACAGATTATTATTTTTAAAAAAGGAATACTTATTCTAGCAACTTTCAGGTACATTTGCTGTACACATTGCAACACAAAAACTCTGTTGTCCTAATAGCTTGCACAGTGCTTAAAATATTAGAGTCTTTGACCTTTACACCTAGTAATTCATATGGTCTATCTTCCTATTAACACAAAAGTGGTTTATTTACATTAATAATTTAAAAATTAATTTTTAAGAATGCAAATTAAATTTCAAAAAGGTAGCTAAATTTATATATATATATCTTTGCTGTTTACATTAGAAGACTTCATAAATCCTCCAAAACAGACAACACTTTTCCCCCTACGTAATCTCCTGTACAGCTCACATAATCTCAGTGCTTGCCAATGAGAAAAGCAGATAACGCAGCTTCTCCTTTCTCCTACTCATTCTATTGACTAAGTTACTTACAAATACTGTTCTTTAGCAAGCGTTCAGAAACAAAAAATTAATTCAAGGTCAAAACCCAGAACCCAGTTACTAAATTCACAGCCTAATGAGTTACTCTGCGGTGTACTGGCCTGGTTTCATAATGGCAATTTACAACTTTAACAGATGCACTAAAGTGAAACTGAAATCTACATATACTACCATCCTCCAAGGGAAGATAGAATTCAGAATCCAACACATACTTTTTGCTGTAGTTCTTTCACAGCATGGTCCCTATCCATGCATGCTTGTCGATAGGCTTCATAAGCTTTGTTAAGCTGTTCTCCAATGTTTTTGTCCATAATTCCCAATGTTGTTTCATCACTGGAAAGATGGTGGAGTTAACAGACCTGAAATGTAATCAGAAGAGAGAATGCTAAGAAACAGAAGTACGTGACTAAAAACATAGATAGTATGACTTGTACTAATATCACATTCAAGTAATATGTGCAGTATGTTTGACCATTAACTTACATAATAGTTTGAATTATAGCTCTGCTCACTTCAACATTTAATTTTATGTCCAGGGGTAGTTTTAAACAAAAGCCAAACAAAAGCAGGTCAACTCTGGATCAAATTCTGGATGTACAGAATGTGGAAATACATGCGTAGTTACAGTGTTTAGGACTGAGATACAAAATTGGTACAGATCACCAGTTACTTTATTTTATGTGATCTCCAAAAGTTTAAGGTTTACATAATTGTGAAATAACAGACAGTATTAATAAACAAAACTAAACTCAGCTTTTGGCATTTAGCAACAGAAAGACAAAAGTTGAATAACAGTAGGTTACACAAACCTATCCTATTCTATGCAATATTTGAAAATGGCAACACAAACTACACTACAAAGTGAATTAAAACATCTTTTATCTAAAGATCAGCTATACTAACCAGTAAGAATTAGCAAGACTTGGACCTTTTCACACTAATATATATAATGGTCAGTCTTCGCGAGCGAAGATCCGGGGAAGGTCTTTACACCTTCCAGCCTGCGCATTGGATTTTTTAGGTGAGACACAGTGTGCGCGGAACTGAGCCCACCCTTTAATCCTAAGGTTCATCTGCCGGGGCCAAGCGAGCTTGGACGGTGGCAGCGAGGTCCTCAGGACGTAGGTGGGTTGCCTTTAAGGGCTAACGAGCCCCACCTGCCCGGGAGTGGCCCTGACCGGGAATCGAACCCGGGTCTCCGCGGTGATAGCGCCGCGCCTTTACCACTAGACCACCAGGGGCTCCTTTTTCACACTACAACACTAGTAAACATCACAGACTCCAGTTTCAAGAACTTTGCAAACACAGGTCCTTTGCTTCTATAGTAATATATGACATTATTTTAAGATCAAAATTTATCATAACATAAGCACAGTAGAGAAAAAGTTAGTGAAGTCCCCAAAAAAAACCCCAAAAAAACACCACACCAAAAAACCAAGGTACTAGCATTAAGAAAAAAAAAATTAGTAATTTCATCTCTCCTGGTATTTAAATCATAGAATCATAGAATAGATTGGGTTGGAAAAGACCTCCAAGATCATCAAGTCCTACCCCTGATCCAACTCTAATTACTATATCATGGCACTAAGGGCCATGTCCAATCTCTTTTTAAAAACCTCCAGGGATGGTGAATCCACCACCTCTCTGGGCAGGCCGTTCCAATGTCTGATCACCCTCTCTGTAAAGAATTTCTTCCTAACATCTAACCTAAACTTCCCTTGGCAGAGCTTGAGCCCATGTCCCCTGGTTATCTCACAGTAAATGGTGTGGACTGACACTACCATCTCTCACTATCTTCTGGGATTATGCATAAACCACAGATACTGTTAAGGAAAGTGGTGCAGTGAGATGAGGATAAGCCAAGCAAGAAGGGTATGAGGATAATTTGTATTGGACCCTGGTCAAAATTCTGAGGATTGCAGCTTGAAGATTTTGCTCATGTTTTCTGGTTTTTGAATATCTTCCCTATCATAGGGCTTGAATACAGAAATGTGGTTTTACTTTTTAGAAGGTGCAACAGATTACTGTAGAGACTTCGCACTTTTTTGTCCTGCAAATTTTAGTTTAACAGTGTGTTAGTACTGCAAAAGCAATTGTATCCCAACTCTGGCATGGCTGTCCTTTAAAAGTGGCAAAGTGAATTCTTTAACAACTTGGAATCATTTAGTGATCCTTTGATGTGACAAGCAATACTGAAATCCAGGTTCGTAAATTTTGCGTAAAACGCCTACATTGTTTCACATGAAAGTTGTTTGTTTTGACTTGTTTTTGTTGTTTGTTTTCCTAAATACCAGTACAGTAGTTTATAATCGTGGGTCCCTGCATATTGTCTCAGAGCCTTATTAGTAACACAGGCTACTTCATCCACCCCCTTCCTCCCCCAAAGGGTATCCCTTCACTAAATGGAATATTCATTCTAATACCTGGGGCACATCTTTAACTAAATGGGTAGCCTTTCTTTCAGTTTCAAATGAAGGACTGTTTTATGCAGTTCAGTGAATAAAATCAGATATGACATCCGCTTTCAAGGAGAGGTGCTAAACTGCAGAGGGCATTGTTATGGCTGAAAGTAACTGAAAGCGTACTCTCACTTTCTTTAAAAGCTTGCAAAGTTTGAATCAATGTTGACTTTGTACTTTTCTGAAATTCTCCACTGACACTTGTAACAATTTAGCTAGTAAATGGCATGTCTTGTACATATAAAACGTAACTTCAAAAAATTAGTCCAATGGGATTGAAAACACTGTTCAGATACCAAGAGAGAATAGGGCTCAAAGTTCATAGAAAATGAAGGTATTATTTCATTCATGCAAATTCGAATCTTCATTTGAAAAACAGTATTTAAAATTTATACCTAATTTCCAGTCTTAGAGTCTTATACTTACTCACTGATTGAGACTGGGAGCATTAACAAAGAGTTCTGCTGTCATCTGGACTGCTAGTAATTGATCCAACAGGCAGAATTGTAGCACTGGGCCTGATTTTCTACTTGGTAGGGAAAAATAAGGAGAATGGTAGCTACTTTATTGATAGCTCCCTAAAATTCAGACTCCATGCAGTAAGAAAAGGTCAGTGAAAGTCATTACTAGCAACACTTTAAGATGGAACTGTAACTAGAAGAATTGGTCTTATATTTGCTCCATACCCCCTAGACACTCATTTCTGCTTCCACCTCACCCTTCCCTTTCTTCCAACATAAGCAACCTTATAGGAAACCGTATCAGCAAACCAAGCCAGTTTAAAACTAAATACTAAAGGTGTTTTTGTTGCATTAGTTTTAACCAGATCAAATCCACAGACCCCTTCAAACGGCATGATAACACCAGGAATCCTGCACAGGAGCAGAAAACATCAGCAAAAGGTAGACAGAACTCCTGTGTTCAGCAGCAGCAATGGCTTTGAAACTGTAACACGAGGTCACAGTTATGTAACAGTGATGTAAGTCTGTCCTGCCACAGAGAAGGATACTTGGACGTTACCCTATCTCTGGCCACATATTTTTGCCACTTGTACTGGTATTAGCGCTTCTATGCTACACAGCTGAGTATGCCAAAGCAGCTCCCTACTTCCTCAAAAAAGCAACAACAACCCCCTAAAAAAACAATTTTGAAATTAAAACTGGAGCTAGTTCACTGCAAGGCTGCTGGAGCACTACTACCAGCACAAGAAGGCAGTGGGAACATGAGACTAGTCGTGGGCAGGACTGCCGCAGTCTAGATTTAGATTGGATTAAACTACTCTGTAGTCACACCCTGGATTGCCTGTTGTTGGAATAAATAACTGGTTCTTATGTTATATATCACATATCCAGAACTCCTTGCAGTTAGAAAAGCTGGCTCCTTTTCCTGCTTCTCCTCCATAGGCATCAATATTTATCAGGGAATTCGCCAACTGTTCCTTGTCATTTACCCTTCCCCTACATCCAACTAGGAGGAAAAAACCCCATCCCAACAACCCTAAAATAAAAAAACCCCAAAACAACCCCCAACCCAAATATCCCCCTATTTTAACCAGACTTACTTATGCTATGTTTCAGTTGCTGTATTCCATACATAATTCAGCCCAAAGATGACAACTCTTGATCTTTAGCAACTGACATTCTAGATATTCATTAGATCCTAAAGACTTTCACAATCATTAACAGCAATATGTAGTCAGCAGAGAGGTAGCAATAAAAATTGCTGCATTTATTCTAACAGGGACAGAATTAGAGAAAGAGATTAGCTCCAGAGCTTGCTCTGCAATGTGAATACCTGTAAGTGCTGTGTTGCTGGGGCTATGGCAATGAGAACTAGAATTTCATATCTAGGCAAAGACCTGAACACTGGAAAACAACTGGGTATAGTAAATGTTGTAAGACAATCTTTTAAACAAACAAACCAAACAAAACCTGCAGATTATCTTAAAATACTTGTCTCAAATGAGAAACATTTTGCTGATATAGGTGGGAAAAAAAGAAACAGTAAAATGAATATACTGAGTCAAATGCCAAAAAAGCTCCAACACAAAGATTAGCAGCATATTGCTGCTGCAATCTCAGCTCCACGCTCACTAGAGGCATAGGACTTTTTTTAATGCCTCAGAAAACACCTTAAATTCTAAAAAAAGAGCAGATTTTAGCTAATCATGTGTACATATACACATTAACTCGTAATACACATGCCTAGCTCTCATAGGTTCATATGAGAGATGAGAACATAGGTGCCATTCAGCAACAAGTACTTCTTTACATATTTCTGCCTTCAGAACAGATTTTTTCAATGGAAATATTTTGTAAGTTACACTGCCATCATCCTGGGCACTGGAACTTTTTTCCCCCCCTTATTTTTTCTTAGTGGACACAATTCCTGCTTTGCCCGACTGCGGGATGCGTCGGGAACAGGGCAGGAGCCCCTCCTGCCACACCAGCGCTGCAGGGGGGCCGCCCCTCAGCGCTCAGGGAGCGGGACGGTGATTCCCGGGGCGCGGGGGTTCTCTCCCCCCGCCGCTGCCCGCGGGCACAGCGAGCGCCTCTTCCTGCTCCTGCCACCGCCGCCCGGGCCACCGCCGCCCGGCACCGATCCCGCTGACCCCGCTGATCCCGCTCCAGCCGCTCCGGGAGCGCCTCCGCGCCAGCGCTGCGCCCCCGGCCCCGCTCCCTGAGCCGGGCCGAGGGGGACCCGGCGCCGCCGTCCCGCGGGGGGCGGAAGCGCGGCCTGGCAGCGCCCGGCCCGCCCCGCGGCCCCGGGCCGAGCGCCCGCAGCCCCCCGCGGGACGGCGAGCAGCGCTCCCCAAAGCCACTCACACTTACGAGCGCCTCGCGGAGCCCGCGGCCGCCCCCGGCACAAGGCGCTCGCTCCTGCCGGAGCGCCTTAACCCAGGAACCAGAACCGACTTCCTGCCGTGCCTCTCCCCGCCCTGTGACGGGGAGCTGCCCGCCGGGTCGGGGCAGGGCAGGGCAGGGCAGGGCAGGGCAGGGAGGCGGCCGCCGGAGCCGCCGGGTTCGCCACCCCGGCAGCGCCCAGCTGGCCTCTCCGCAAGGATGGCAGTATTTCTGCTTTCCTCTGCCTTGCAGTGCCTCCTCTGCCTGGCCGCAGCCAGGCACCCGCCTCAAGCGGGATCCGTGGCGCTCCTGACTTCCACAGTCCTTCCCTATTTCTGTCTTTCCGTGTTTCAGAGTGATTTGTAAATAACAATATTTACATCTGTAATACACTTTTCATGCTCAGAGCAGTTTCTGTCTGAAGTGGGGTTTTTTAGGTTACTACAAAGGTATTTTTGCCCCTTGCACTTATTTCATGCAGGCAATGAATTTTATACGTAAGAATATAAAAGAAACACGTAGTTTTAATTTTGCTAGTACTACAAGCCCTCCTCTCTTTAGGTCACATGTATAAATACAACTTTTTTCCCTGAAGGTGTGTAGGAGGGTGGGAGCTGATGGAAAAACTTGAGGCATTTGTTACATACTTGCCCAGGATAGAGAGCCAGCAGCAGAGAAGCTTTACATATTTTGAATTAATCTCGGCCAGCTCTGAACCCCAGTGAACATATCCACACAGCCAGGCTTTAGTGTTTCTTCTGCTAGAGCAGAACTTTCCTCTTTGGCCCCTCACAGATCAGAACCCGTGTTCCAGCTATTGCAACCTTACCTTCCCTGGGTGCATGCTCTTGGAAGCCTGAGGACTGAGTTCAAACACAGCCACAGGAAAAGTGGCCAGGTGTTCTCCTGTGCTCCTTTGAAGGATATTTCTACTGTAATTTACCTTTTCTGACAGATCTGTAACAACTCTTTTAATCTGTTTTGGCCTGTGCTAAAGCTAAAGAACCTTATAGGCAGATGGCTTAATAAGCCTATAAATGTACTTCCTCTTTGGCCACTTTTAGTAACTTCAAGTGAGGTTCTGATGAACTATTAAGGTTCAGAGACACATTTCCAAGAGTTAACACATTTCCAAGAAAGGGAAATTAAATCTTCTCTTTGAGAGACAGTGTTAGTTAACGTTTCATTCAACCAGGTCTTAAAGAAAAAAAAAAAAAAAAAGGAAACAAAAAAAACAGGTGGGCAAAAAAGACTGTAGTTGTTTTTTGTTTGTTTGTTTGTTTGTTTGTTTAAATTCATTTCTATATGTTTAATTTTTATTCAGTTTTGGCAAGAAGTTATGTACTTAAAATTGTAATAGGTATCTCAGTAACGGAAAACCTGTGATTTTTAAATTCAGATCAATGTATGTAAATATAATTTAACAGACACTATATTTAAACAGGGATAATATGCAGAAAAGTACAAGTGGGTATTACCTGATGATAAACATGTATCAACCAAGTTTATAACTACCTGAATTCAAATACAGCCATAACATATACACGACCTCTGAAACACTATCATAACATGTTAGTTGTTACAGGGGAAAAAAAATCTAAGTTCTAATAATGTACTTAATGTAAATTTGTTGTGAAGGTCTCAAACTCAGCAAAGCAAAAGTGACAACCATCTACAAACACGACTTTTGGAATTACATGCATTAATCTCTGAGTTCTTTATCGGTAATATTCTTTCACAGAAAGCAAGAGAGAAGGTGGTCTTTCTTCTATCTTCATTATTTAGTGTCTTCTTTCCTTACATTTCCTCCCCAAATACAATAAGATGTATGTAACAAACTCTACAGTAATCCATTTTGATACTCCCAGAGACTCCCAACATTTGAATAAAATGTTAAATAGAAGAAAAATGCCCATGAAAATAATACACAACCTGTATTGTGTAGCTAACTTCATCTCTAATTTTGATCTTCTAGATTTTCTGCTTTACAGTCAATTAGTTTTTTCCTTTTCTTTCTCACCTTGCTTTCTTTTTCTTTGTTTTTCTGCTTCCTCCTCTTCTGTCTCTGTATGTCCTTCCCTACAGCTATTCCAGTAACAACTTTCTATATTTTTGTCCCTCATTGATATTTCACACTTTTATGTCATTGTCAAGACAGAATTGCTTTCCTATATGTAGTCTTCATAAGATAGCTGGAAAGAACAAACATATATCAGTGTATTTTAAAATAATTTAGCATTTTGGGAATCTACTAACCTTAAAACCAGTTGCAATCTGGAGTTCAGGAGCAGTGGTGAAGATGTTCTTGCCTTTATTATTTTATTTCACTTTGTCTTTAGACTCAGAGAAAGCCATATTTTGACTACTTATGCTTAGAAACTTTTTTTTTGGGTGGGGGCAATAACAAGTTGATACTTTTTTCATAGTGAAAATTCAAACTTGCTCTGAGTGGGTCAAGCAGCCTATTTAAGCACCTCACATGATCTATATGCAGTTTGCTGTTTGACATTACTTCCGAAATAGTATTTTAACAGGAATTTTACTTGGTCTGTACTGGTGTGTTAAGTGTTGGTTACACTGTGCTGAGATCTTGTGAAGGAACTGGCTGCTCTTAGGGAAGGCTGGTGCTGCAGCATCTGGCAAAAGGCTGTAGTTCATCGAAGGTTTCATCTGATTCCTTCCTACAACTCTATAAGCTTATAAATACAAATTGGCAACTATCAGAAAGAGGTTAAAATGTTTCTTGCAAGTTGTTAATGTAGCCATTCGTTCAGACACTAGGTGGCTCACGTCAGATGTTAAACCTTTTCCAGAACTTATAAACTGTGGTCCCAAAGGGGTGTGCTGGGTGCTGAAGGAGTCTCTGCTACTCTAGGGTGTTTCCCCGCTCTTGCAATCGGTTGTTGTTTAACTAAATAAAAAGCGTGTTTTGAACTTGAAATGCCTTTTCTGGTCAGAAAAAGAGAATTGTGGTTTAATTTAGCTGAAGTGTCGTTGCATCATAGTATGAAGGAAGATGAGACTGACTTTTTTTTTCTCCAACATCAAAAGTTGATGAGCCCGTGAAAACCCTAGTATATATTTTGCCAATAGGTGGTCACAGACAAAGCCTGAGTTCCAGAAACTAACTAAATGATATTAGTCAAAGTGCAGACATACAGATTTGGTGAATTATAAGCAACATAAACATAGTGCCTTATACTTTTTCTATGCATCCAAATGCTGAAGTTGATAAGTATAATTTACTTATTGTCTTTATGAAGTGTAGGAACCAAAGGTTTGCAGTTTCTTTTCTCATCTCTTTGGTAAGAGTACCTGAAATTTTTATGTTGCCTAGGAGGACTGTCAACAGCATTATGAAACGCAGTTTTGTACTTCAGTACTGCTTATGACTAATATTAGCTGGGAACTTCCACTGAGAAATACCCAACTGAAGAACTTCCTTAAATGCTACTGCAAGCAGACAGTCATTCTCTAAAACAGAGACTTTAGCAGAAATAACCTGCAAACTGGCTTTGGACCCAGTGCAATATTCCTGATTTCCATAATTAAGGTCAGTGAGTTCTAGAGGCTCACTACCTTGGAAAAAGTTTAGCCTTCATGAAAAGGGAACAGTGCATGAACAGGCAACCCTGCATGTGTGGGAACAGTTAACATACATAGCAACTGTTGTACCAAATACAATACATGTTTTTTAATGTATTGTGAAGAAAAAACCAGTGATGATAATGACACCAAAAGAAAGTAGCAACAGCCTTGTAACACAAATGCTATTCCTCTATATAGAATATAACCTGTATTACAAATACAGTGAGTAAAAGATGGAGAGTGAAATACTTCTCTGTGAAGACTAGCCTGATTCTTAGTTAAGATCCAGAGAAACTTAATTATGCAAATGCTTGAGTTCTGTTTAAGTTTTATTATAGTTGTGTATTTCCTCCCCTTCCCCTCAAACCACTGCATAGTGAAACTGAGTTCTGTAGAACAATGTAGGAAAAACTCTTAGCTTGGAAAATTTGTTTTCTCTAGCATGAATGCCTTTTTGCCACAGAAACAAATATTCAGGAAATTTAACATATAAACATAAATTCCTTAGCTTTGTCAGTGTGAAAAAGTGAGATATTTTGACATCATCTACATTACATAGGCCTTCTCCCTCTGTTCCTTAATAAAATTTCGTAAATCTTGGTGCCTGATTTAGATAGAGCTACATTATATTCAGTATCTAATTTAAGAAAATAGTTGATATATGGAGCTTTTGCACTATATATTGAATGTTATTTGATCTCAAACTCCTATTCAGGTTGTCAGTGTGGAGTAAGAGTGGAAGAAGTAAAGGAAGATGTATTTGAAATACCACATTCCATTTCTAGACTCTCTTTTCCTCTTCTGCAAAAAGGGGAGCTATGTCGTGCAGCAAGATTCCATGGTATTATTTTGTTTCTGTAGTGTCATAAAATTCTAAAGTTTGGGGGAAAGGAAGAGACAGGTGCTGATGCAAAGTCATAAAGTTAATGGACCTGCATCAGTATACTTATGAAGCCTCTTGTCAAAACTGTTCAGGATGTGAAAAGTTTGGATGTGTTCAAGGGGAGATTGGACAAGTAAATACTTGAGAGATTCACTGAGGGAAACTAAAGAGACAGGCAGCATCAATCTCAGGAAGTTCTCTGACCTGAAAATAGCTGGCAGCTGGGAGAAGACTCTGAGGAAGTATTACATATGCTTGCCCTGTTCTTATTCTTCCCAGGGCATTGATTTCTAGCCACTGCTGAAGAGAAGATGGGTCTGAACCAATGTGGCATATGTTCTTATGTTAATGACTTCATGCTGATACAAATGTGTAGGAATTTCTCTATATTGAACAATCTCCTGTAAAAGACAGGATTCTGTAGAAGTATAGGGAACATTACAATTGCAGAAACTCCAAGAGATATTGGAAAATCCATTCAGAATTATTTCTTATTATTTTAAAATATCCATTTGAAATATAAAACGTTTGAACAGGTTTATTAAAGATAACCAGTAAGATTTATCAGGTTTCTGAAAGATGCTGTTTATAGTTTGACTATGTTTCTAGTTAAATTGTGATGACCAACAGATCAACT